GGGTGGGCTGCAAACACGTCTGTGCGGGCTGACGTGGGTCTGGCACCACTAAAACCGCCGAAAAGGAGCATGCTCCTGTGCCAGACGAAGAGGGTGCCGCCAGTACATGGCGACAAGGGACAGGAGACAAGGGGCGCCCAGTGGTCTGCATGGACAGCCTGTCCCTTCTGCAGGGGTGCGTGCGTCAAGTGTTTCCCTCCCGGGACAGGCACACCCCAGAAAAGTGCATGTGTTTCCCCTGTTGATGTGTGAGCAATCAGTCTCGGCTTTGGCACTGAGAGGTTGATGAGATACAGTTTGCGCTGCTGCATCAGCTGTTGGCTACCGCCGCTGCTGCTGCTGTGTGCGCTTGCTGGAGGCGCTGCTACTCAGCACTACTTGACTTCCATTCACCTCACGGCTGCAGTCAGATCGGCCACTGCGAAGACGAGGACGGCTACCACCCAAACGAGCCTTCCAGACGAGACCATTGTGCAACCTTTGGAAATCAAGTCGCCGTGGATTACTAGCTAGAGTAAGCTCCAAATTTATTTTTTGATAATCAACAACATGGCACCTGCGCGCGAGGCGTCTTGGTCTAGATCGGACAAGCCGTCGTCGCGCAGCTTCGTACCGGTAGCGAGCGGGTGACAGTGGGCCGCCGATCCCACGGAACACCGCCATTGTTTGCAATTATCTGATGATGTTACCGGGTGTCTATAGCATGCTGCAAGCCACCTTTGCGGAACGGATGATCAGCCACGTGCTGTGTTCACGTTGCTCGGATGACGCCAGCAAGCAAGTTGGCAGCTTCTGGGGCAGGCGAAGATGATACTTTACTCTTTCTTTGAGCAAAACTTAACAGAAAAGGGCCTCGTTGGCTGCACACAAGCATCGCAAGCTGCAACCAAGGACGGCAGCCGGGGACCAGCAGGTCAGCTGTCCAACCTGCGGCGTCACTGCTTCAGCACAGGCGCTGCCCATCGCCCGTGCACTGATGCTTGCCCTTGGCTGGTGCGATGCATGCTGGTGCAAATGAAATGCAGCCACGCAATCACTTACGCATCCCGTGTTGAAGGATCGTATAATGCATGCAGTTTGGAGGAGGAAGGGGGAGTGGCTGGCTCATTGTCCAAGTCAGCAAGGTGATCAAAACTCTGCTGCGGGTGCAGGTGACGCACGCCGTTGGTAAAACCAGAACATCCGATTTTCACACAGGTCCAGCAGAATTGTTACACACATGTGCCAAATGTAATCAAAAGCACTCCAACACAGCAGATGGGGAGGTATGCATCAACGGCACGTGCCAAAAGCAGCCGCAAAAAAGTTGTCGATGGTGGCAGGAATGGATACCACCGGCGATGCACGACACTCATGTTGGGCACGTTTTTGGCGCGTGTATGCATACTGGGTCTTGCTTGGCGGATAAATGAAATGGGGCTGGGAAGGAGATGCCGCTGTGGTCAAAACGGCCCTAGGGCCTCCGCGTCTTGAAATGTTTAGGGCACGCCCCAGCAGCAAAAATATGCACCTGGCCTGCACCGCAACCTTTGGAACGGGGATGTTGGCCACTCTTTGGGGCTCTACGCGGCGAGCGCAGTGCGCAGGCCAACCACCAGTGTGGCGATGATGCAGCCGAGGTACGACAGCCCTGAGATGCCGGCGCCTGGTCACAAGGCAGCGAGCAATGGTGGTGCACAGGTGCATAAGGAGCTGCTGCATAAAATGGCAATCGGCAGCAGGGCATGCGAAGCCACGGAACATGGGGTGGTGGACCAAAGAAGCTGCGCAATGCCCTTGGATACAGCAAGACAGGAGCCAGTGCCCCGCATGACAAATGTACGGCGCGGCCTGCCCCTCTTCCCCATCTGCGTGTGCTCCCTAGCCCATGTTTGTTTGTTGTCCCATGCATGAGCATGCACCTCAGGAATTATCACATGCACCCCACTCTCCAGCCCCTCACCCGTCATACGCTTGCTGGGGTCGCCTGTGCTGTAGCCGGTGGCGTAGAATATGCGCCCCACCGACCACACAGCGTTCAGGATGGCAGCGCTGACCGGGTACACCAGCCCCTGCGAACACGAGTGACAAGCTTAGTGCCAGGTGATCCTGGCCCCCGTAGGGCACGGGCAACAGCCACCTACTTTGGCGGCGAGTCTGATAGGCGTGCTGGGAGGGGCCCAAAGAAGCGGTGTCACATGCGCTAGGGCGGCCAGCTCAGCTGCGACCCCTATCGCCGCCACCCCTCGCACCAGCACGATACATGGGCATCCACATCGCAAGGCAAACCGTCTCACCAGCATGCAAGTCATGACCAGCATGGCGGGGGCCGTCTCGAGCGTGTTCTGGTGAGACCGCTGCGTGCAGTTGAAGATCTGCGCCTCCTCGCCCTCGCCCTCTGCGTACCTGGAATGGATACACGGCCACACGCGTGCGTGCACGTGGGCGTGTGCGCATGCATGTTATGGTGAAGGAGGAGACCTTGTCAAGGGTGTGGGCATCAAGGTCTACCGTGGGGGTTTGGAGGGTTTCCCCCCGGTGCCATATCGGCCCTGCTCACGCCCCTTGCGCATGTCGCGCGTTGGGCTACCTCGCACATGGCCACAGCTCACCTGTTACTATCTAGGTTGCACGCAGGTGCTCGGCACCTCGCTAACCCCGTGTAACTGACTGTCAATAAAAAAAAGGTAAGGGCGTAGTGTTGCAGAGCGGCTGTACAGCAGTCGCAGCCACCCCAAGCGCCACCCACATCTTGGGATAGGCGACGTTGTACTTCCTGCGCGCGATCGCCACGCGGATTGCCTGCCACTGCAGCACCGCCGCTGTGAAAGCCGTCGACGCGATCACATAGCTGCGCGGGGTCGCCAGCGGAGCAAACAGTGCGCAAGCACGTGCGGGTGACTCGCTTCATGGGGTTGCCTGGCCCTGGGTGGGGCCGCTGACTGTGCCAATGACGCAGGCAACACGTTAATGAACCAGCAAGGCGGCCCTGAATATTATCAGTACCAGCTAGCACATGGAGGTCAGATGAGCGGCTTTGCACGGCGTTCTCAACCCTCCACTACCGTTCAGGCGGCTCGCCGATGTGGCGCATTGAGACGCACCCGTACTGGTGAGCAACTGCGATGGACGCGGCCACGTGCACAGGGCCGCGTCTCAGAGCAGCACGCTGACTAAGGAACGTAGGCTGCCGCTTCCTGAGAAAGGGATTCAGGGTGCGCGCTCCAGCCGAGATCATCGCCATCTTGTGCACGGAGATTGAACCAGCCAGGAACGATTGAACCAGTCAGGAACGTTTGAGGGAATTGTTTGTGATCATTTTATGAGAGACAGCTGTGTGCTTTGGGAAACGGCGAAGATAGAAACGTCACTAGTGCACGGTGCATGTCGCACCTTTGGCTGTGAGCGAGTCAGAGCCTCAGCCTAAATGATGATGATCATACAGCTCACCAATCAACAACATTAACGCATGTGCTTTGACACACCCGCAACCTTGGTCGTTGGTGCTTTGACAAACTGGGTTGATACGGACCCCGCACCCTGTCCCTCATCGATATGATGCTAGTCGCATTCTCTGCCTTGGTCCCCTGGTTCTTCCAATGTCATGTCATGTCATGTCATGTCATGTCATGTCATGTCATGTCAGGGTGAATACCATACCATTACTCGTTATCCCCACACGTGAGGTCACTTTGTAGAGGTCAGCCGTGTGGCCGGGCGAGCCAGCTATAGCTGTTGTTATGCCGTCACCGACGGCGATGGACGGATGGAGGGCCAACATCACCGCAACACTTAGGGTTGCCGTACCACATCCCAAGTGAGGCAATTATGCGTGCTGTCAACATCTTGGCACGGCCCAGTCTACTTGCCTGCTCCCATGATAGGTGAATTGGATGGCGAGCGCAACCTATGATGATAGCAACCATGTATTCACATGTAAAAAAAACCATCTAACTCTTTTTCCTGGCAACATGCGATTACGCTTTGTTTTGCGTTTTTCACAGAAATTTAGACTTAGAGCTTGTGGCCAGTCACCGAGAGCAAGGATATGGCAGACACACCAAGGTGTCCTGGGTGCCTGGCCGGTGCCTGGGGCTGGCTGAGGCGGTGTGCTGCAGCAATGCGGCGTGCAGGCTGCCTGCTGTGGCACCGGCGGCACCTGTGGGGCAGCGGCGGACGCAGGAGCAGGCCGGTTTGGACCAGCAGCGATTGTAACAATCCTAATCCAGCGATTGGCAGCTCGAGACGCTGCTGCACGCGCTCATGGAGTACGTGCCCGGCGGTGCGGCCGGCGCTGCAGTGGCTGGCACGGTTGTGGCCGCGCACTGGGGGCGGGCCCGCCCCTCCTCT